GAAACGATAAAACGATAAAAGGTTGACATTGGGGGGGGGGCTTTTAAATTAAAAGAAACACGACTAAGAGGTGATACTTTATTACAATCTTCATGGTACTGAGAGAATGGATTTTCCCTTACTTACAGAACACTCAACCTTGAGATTGTCTAGTTAAATGGATTGGCAGTAGATTTCAAGAGAGACAGAAAAGATCCTTTTATTTGCACATCACTCCCTTATAAGTTGCTTCTACAAGGGTGTGTTGGTGGCCACTGGCTTGGAGGATAATGGGGCTGTTGAGCTGCAACCAACTCACAGTGACCCCATCCATGGGGTGTTCCCTGCAAAACATGAGCAGGAGTGGTTTGGCCACTTGTGTGTGTGTGTGTGTGGTGGCATCAGGTCACGGCTGACTTATGGCGACCCCATAGGGTTTTCAAGGCAAGTGATTAAGCAGAGGTGGCCTGCCATTGCCTGCCTCTGCAAAGGGTTCCTTGGTGGCCTCCCATCCAAGTATCGATCCTGATGAGATTCCGAGATCTGAAGAGATCGGGCTAGACTGTACCATCCCACCCCCCCAAGGACGCTGGCTTAGACAAGTTTAGAATGGGATTAAATGTATTCTGGGCATGATACATCTATTAAGAGCTATTAGCCAGGACAGCAAAATGGTAGTCCACGGCAGGATACCTGTTACTTCCAGATATCTACAATGGGTGACCTTCTTGTTGGATTCCTGGAGGCTCCTGGCTAGCTGTTAGAAATGGGATGCTGGACTAGATCCACCACTGGTTTATCCAGCAGGATTCTTGTGTTCTTCTGAAAAGTTCTGCTTTGCCCCAAATAGAATCATAGAGTTGGAAGGGGCCATACAGACCATCTAGTACAATCCCCTGCTCAAGGCAGAACCAGCCTAAAGCATCTCTGACAAATATTCATCCAGCATCTTCTTGAAAGCTTGTCAGTGAAGGGGAGCTAACCACCTCCCTAGGCAGCTGATTCCACCTTTGAAACACTCTGACCGTGAAAAAGTTTTTCCTAATATCCAACCAATACTGTTCTGCATGTAAATTAAACCCATTGCTTCAGGACCTCTCCTCTGCTGCCAACTGGAACAGCTCCTTGCTTTCCTCCAAATGACAGCCTTTCAGATATTTAAAGAGAGCAATCATGTTCCCCCTCAATTGCGTTCTCCAAACTAAACATTCCCAGGGCCCTTAGCCTTTCCTCGTAGGGCTCAGTCTCCAGACCCCTGATCATCCTCGTCGCTCTCTTCTGCACCCCCTCGATTTTGCCCACATCCTTTTTGAAGTGAGGCCTCCAGAACTGCACACTGTACTCACTGTGCGGCCTGACCAAGGCAGTATACAGAGGGGGATATGACCTCCTGCGGTTTCGATGCTGTGGCCCTTTTAATACAAGCCAAGACTGAATTTGCCTTTTTTGCCACCGCATCACACTGAGTGTTCATATTTAGTTTACAGACCACCCTTATCCGAAGATCTCTTTCGCATACCCTACTCCCCAGAAACGTATCCCCCATCCAGTATTTGTGCTTGACATTTTTGTGGCCCAGATGTAACACTGTGCATTTATCTTTGTTGTGTGCACACCCCGCTAGTTGTGTGCTTGTCAGATGAAGATTATCCTGGGTTTACGTTCATTTCGATCACTGGACGTCTCTCTACCAATCAGCGGAACATGCAAGCGACCTCTACGATTGTACACGTGGTGTATTCATAGTATCAGCAAGCCTGTAACGATGGGAAGTAGGGGAAAATTTCAACTGTAATCTTCAATTGGTACAAAATGCTTGAAAGGGAGGCAGTCAATGTTCCCTCTAAGCTGTGACTTTGTGAGTTACTGGCATTAAAGTTGTGAGCCAGCAGTCTGGCTACTGCATAAATTAGTTTGCGCCGGAGCCGTCCTTCCTGAGCGAAGACAAAAATGTGTGCGCCAGAGGCTAAGAAATTGTGAGCTAGCTCACACCAACTCAGCTTAGAGGGAACACTGGAGGCAGTATTTATCATGTGACTCTTAGGTCAAGGTATGTCGGGTTCTAATATGCGTTTGAAATGTACGTTCGTGTTTATTGATCATTTATAATTTTCCCAGCCATGTTCTGCGGGCACTCAAGTGGCACTTGAAGCAATTCACAGCAAATTCGGACCGTGTCGTCCTGAACAACCGAGGCAAGTTTAGGAACGATCACATGGACAACACGGCTATGGAAATGTCCAAAGCAGAGATGAAAAACCAAACCAGTATCATATTACATGCAGTGCAGTGGGGTGTCTACGAGAGGAGGGCGACCGAGAAGATGAGGAGGTTGGAGCACCTTCCCTAGGAGGAAAGGCGGAAGAGTCTCTGGGACTTTTCAGTTTAGAAAAGAGGCGACTGAGGGGGGACAGGATAGAGGTTCATAAAGTTATGCACGGGGTGGAGAGAGTGGACAAAGAGAGCTTTCTCTCCTTCTCCCAAAGTACTAGAACTTGAGAGCATCTGATTATGCTGATGGGCAGTAGATTCAGGATAAAAAAGGTAAAGGTTCCCTTGCTCGAAAGCCAGTCGAATCCGACTCTAGGGCTGTGGTGCTCATCTCCGTTTCGAAGCCGAAGAGCCAGCGCTGTCCGAAGACGTTTCCGTGGTCACGTGGCCGGCATGACTAAACACCAAGGCGCACGGAACGCTGTTCCCTTCCCACCGAAGTGGTCCCTATTTATCTACTTGCAATTTCTTGCTTTCGGACTGCTCGGTTGGCAGGAACTGGGGCCAGCTGCTCATCGGGGGTGACGTCACCTGAACAATCTGGAATCGCCCCGTCGGGCCCTGGGGAACGTGGCAGCATCATGGCCGGTCAACCTCTGGTAGGTTCCATTGTGGTCTGGGCTGGGGTAGTTGGTGGTGTCGGGGTACTGAGTGGTGGCAGCCAGCCCTGGGTTGGCTCACCTTCGGGACAGTACCCACATTTTTGAAGGACCGTCTCCTTCCATATGTCAGCATCTGATGATGCTGATGGGCAGTAGATTCAGGATGGACCCAAGGAAATACTCCCTTCCACAGAGAGTGATTAAAATTGGTGGCAAGAGAAAGTAGAGATGGCCACAGGAATAAACAGCTTTAAATGGGGATGATATAGATTCATGGAGGATAGGTCTTATCAGTGGCTACTAGCCATGGGGACCGAGAGGAACCTCAACGTTCAGAGGCACTAACCCCCTGAATCCCAAAGCCACGAGGCAACATCAGCAGAAGGTTTTGACCTCTATTGCCCTGTTGTTGGCCACTGTGTGAGACGAGATGCTGGACTAGATGGACCACTGGTCTGATCCAGCAGAGCTCTTCTGATGTGCCAATTGCAGTCCATTGCAGAGGCCAGTCCAAGATCCACTCATAATTTTCTTGGTGGCCATCTTCATTAAGGACTTCCATCACGGGGATATGCCATTGGCATCTTCCTTCCTTCCTTCCTTCCTTCCTTCCTTCCTTCCTTCCTTCCTTCCTATACTCATGAAACACTGACATGGGCTATGAGACTGGTTAACTGAATGCTGTCACTAGCAGTGAATAATTTTCCTGCGCCACCATGATTTCTTCACCTATTATGACACCATTCACATCCTGACATGTTTACAGCATGTGCAATTTCTATCAATGCATCATGGGATTTCATATTTTGTACGATAGTTGCAACCACCCCCCTTCGATTCGTGAGCTCACAGCATCTCATACATGGTTTCCAGGCAGATCTGTGTGCTTTATTGTTGCTCATTTATTGTTGGTTTAATTGTTTTGATTTTCTGTTGGTTTCTTCGGTTGGGAGTCACCTCAATATAGTGATATAAAGAGGGGGGGGTATAAAGATTTCAAATAGCTAACCCACTCTCAAAATAATGGTTAGATGTCAATTTATTTTTGTCTAAGATATTGGGCAGGATTATCAGTCTAAACGCACAAGAATATAATTGTCTGACAGTGAAATAGAGACAATATATAGCACCATATCAGGGACAGTGGAACTACACACAGAAAACAGATGGACAGCAGAAAAGCAGGAGCCAAACTGAGAACTCCAAGGTTAAATAAGTTTATTGAGAGTTAGCAGTTACGACGGTATATCAGATACCTTGTAATCCAAAGCTACACCTACGTATTTGCCTCTAAGTTCTCACATTTGTCAGTTCCCATGTGTCTACACATTCCATCACTGGCTCGTCTATCTCTAATAATATTAATATTAATATAATTATAATAATACAAAAGGCAATGTCAACCACCATGTTGTGCTTCATACTCCACCAAAAAGAATTCAATTGGCAAAAGAAAAGGAAAGGAAAGGAAAAGGGGGAAATACTTTGTTCATGTCGGATGGGATTTGTCGAAACGGAAGCAATAATCATAACACCGCTAGAAACAAAAGAAGAAAATGTGGGTTAAGACATGTTAATTTTGATCATCTTTGTTAAAAATTTCACATACCATAATGAAGATGACTCTTGAGTTAAATCGTCTCATTATCCGGGCCACACAGTCAAGCATATTGGGCTAGTTACATGATCGCATCGTAACAAAAGCAATACAAGCTTTTAATGATCTACCATGGCAATTTCCAGGGCTCCCGCTTATACATATACCTGCCAACCTAATGTCTCTTGCATGCATTAAGGATCTGCTCTCTCCCCTTCCTTCCACACACCCCCTACTCTTACGGTACAATGTGTTTCAGGGGAAAGAAGGGTTGCGAATTTCGTTTTTGTTTGCTCTCCTGGGAGAAGAGATTAACTCGGTGGACCTCCATTTAACATCAGAACACCGTGTGTCTTTTGGAAAGGGAAAATGCAGATTGCCGAACAACTTTAATAGAGTCTCGGGTTGCATGCAAATTGACACTGCTTCGTAATCTCCCCCCCCCCCTATTCCCTCCCCCGCCATGCCAGATGCATACAAGTTGGCAGGTACGCATACAAAAAAAAACAAAGAAGGAAATAGAAAACTCTTTCGGGGCACAGCCCAGTGAATTAGAAGGAATCCATCGCTTTAAATTCACTTAGAGCTTGTACGGGAGAAATGTGTTTCTTCTGAGAACCCCTTCTCACTCTCGTCTGGTACTCCTCCGGCTTTTCTCTCTTGACTAAGGGTTTCTTTTCGGGGGCCTTCATCTTCCAAGACACGACTGGTGAGTTGACTGCCGCTGTGCCGTAGACCTTTTGGTATTTGGTCGAAGCCACATACGACGCTTTGACGGTGAGGACCACAGCGTTCATCAGGTTTTTAGCTGCTTGGATGAGAGATGTGGCACTATCCAGCTGGGGAAAGGAAAACAACAAAAAAGCAAGGGATGAAAGGATTATTGAAAGTCCTCCCTGGAGAAGAATGATGGTCAGGGAGCTGAGACGATCATCCTGTAGAAGGGGGCAATATGCAGAAATAGCCTGTCTGTGAAAGTCACACAAAGCATACAAATACTTCCACGATAAAAGGTTGGTGGGTGCGTATTGGAGTTCACTTGGCATTTGACAGCCAGGGATGATTCCTCCAATATGTCAACCCAAAAAAGAGGGGGGGAGGAATCTAAACCAACAAAGCACAAACCTCCAAAGGAAGTTTATAAAACTGATTGAGGGCCAAAAGTTACAAACAGAACAAGTGTACAAAAGAGTGCTTATTACAAAGACATATAAAAACCTAGCCGGGGTCCAAATAAAGCCTCATAAAATGTTAAAGGTAAAGGTAAAGGTTCCCCTTGCTCGAAAGCCAGTCGAGTCCGACTCTAGGGTTGCGGTGCTCATCTCCGTTTCAAAGCTGAAGAGCCAG